GGACTAATTGAACTAGATACTAGATAATATCCTATCATAGTAACCAACAACATATAAAGTAGCGAAGAACATATTACAGTTAAAATAAGTGTAAGCGTTAATAATGCTACAGAGAATGAGAGTATTGATGAAGTTTAGAATGTGTGTGATGAGCAAATGATAACTTTGTGGAGAAACTGGATTACTCAGACATTGCCACTCTGAAAAGCAGTCTGGCAGTTTCTGGCCAAGCTAAAAATGGACTTATCACACAACCCAGCAATTAAATTTTTGGGCATTTATCCCAGAGAAATTAAGACTTATATAAGAATTTATACATGAACATTTATAGCAGCTTTATTTATAACCACTCTAAATTGGTCATTCAACAAGTGAATAGTTAAACAAAATGTGATACACACATAACCTAGAACACTACTCAATAATTAAGAATGAACTATTGATATGACATCCTTGGGCAAAACTTAACATTATGCTCAATTTATAAGAGCCAATTCAAAAGTAGAAATACTTCATGATTCCACTTGTATAACATTTGTGAAATAACATTAAAATGGAGAATGGATTTGTGATTGTTATGGGTGAGGCTCAGACAGAAGAAAGGTTTGTGTCTCTGTAAAAGGGTAACAGAAGAGGTATGGTGGTAGAACTAATGAATATTTTCATGTGGTGGTTACAGAACACAAGTAAGTGCATATATAACTGAATAAAGGCCATTGAATATTGAATATTTTGTTCTAGTTTTGTAAGATGTTAACATGTAGGTTATTGGTCTTACCTGTAGAATTCTTTGCAACATACTATATGAATGTACAGTTATTTCAAGATAACATTTTAATTAGTTAAAGAGGTAGATTTTAAAGTTATTTTTATAAAACTGTGTTTGTTTCTCATTTCTCTTTTAACCCTGGCTATTACATAAATAATTGCAACTCTATTATGTTTTTAACAAGCTTTACAACACAAGAACTGAGCAGTTATTACTCTATTCCTAACCCTTTAAGCTAATTTGGTTTCCTCTCAGAGTAAATCCCCCAGATACTTGTATTTTGTGGTTTTCCCTGCTCCAGCTCCTCTCCTGGTGTTTCCTAGACCTCTCCCATGGCTGAATCCCCTACTTTCTCCTCTAACTCTTCCTTTCCTGGCAGGCAGGAAATCTAGCTCTGTTCTCTCCCCTGCTCAGCAGTTGGCTGTAAGGTGCTTTATTAGCATGCCAGGGGACAATTAGGAAGCAGTTTTTACACAACATTGAGACAGGAGATTCTCAGAACAAAGATTACAACCAGATATGGGGGGGAGGGTCACAGAAATCAGCATTTGAGTTACACACTAACCTTATGCCTACATATCCCTCTTTTAGCCTAATAAAAGGCTCTTTCTCTTACAATAACAAACTATATGTAATACAATTATGAAAATTATTAGGTAAGATTTACATTTGTATTTTTGACACCCTTGGATAAAGTATTCTAATACCTATCAATTCCAATCATCTTAAACAATTTAAGTTTAACTCTGAGACTAGAACTATCTAGTCTTCAATCCCATCAGAGATTTAAGAAGGAATAAATGTTACCTAAATATGTAGGAAGTGCAAGCAAGCAGCTTCCAAAAGTATAGAAATGACAGAGATATTTGGCTGCCTGGACAGTCCCCCAAAATTTCTTTATAATGTTGGAGCATTATCTTCAGCCTTCTGGCTCAAAATATTTGACAGACTTTTCTGTGAAGCGGGAATTATAAAGAACTTGCCTACCTTGTCCTTGCAAAACTCAGCAATCAACCTTCCTGCATCCATTTTGTTCAGTTTGGACAGTATTCTGTCTGTAATTGACACAAGGGCATTTTTTTCACCCAGGGGCTACCTTGCCACATATAATACCGTTAATGCTCTTTGAAGTAGAATGGAGGTGCTGCCAGAAGCAGACCCTGTCTCATGGTCAAAAAAAGCCTTAAGTTAATAAAATCTTTAAATTCTGTAGATTTCTGAGGTTTTTGAGACCATCTGTCTATCTTACCTGATTTGTTTGATTCTAGCTATTTTTTTTAATCCATCAATCTAGGAAAAATATTTTTGTAATTAACTAAACCATGACCATGAATTTTATTGTCTGACTGCTAATATGCATTTCTTACTTACCCTAAACAGTTGGTAATAGCAGCTTTCAAAAGAACTAGAATTTAACATTGCAGTTTTAAGAATTACGTCAATACAATACCTTAGCATGGTGCAACCAAATATAATCTTAAATCTGTATTAATACAGAAAGATTTATACAAATGTAATTATTTTTATTAATGCTGTTGGGTCTAAAAGTAGATTCAGTAATGTACCCTGTTACTTATCATTCCTATAACCAACCCCTTAAAACAATAATAAACATCTATCGCCAATAGAATGTCCAAAAGCCATCCAACCCCTCTTAAGAATAGGGCGTAGTTTTCTTAAATTGCTTCCTACTGATTTGGGACATAGGGTTTTTTTTGGGGGGAGGGGGCGGGAATTGGAATATTGTCCAGTCTTGTAACGTTTGCTGTCCAGTCTCTGCATGCTAAGAAAGTTCAGAGTTTCACTGAAGTCAGGACTGGAACAGTCTATGCTTTTGGTCGATTTAGCTAGCTGTTTTGAAATTGTCCCAGATGCAGACTTTTGAGGAAACAGTCACTGAGGCTGAGTGTGAAGTAGGATCACCTGGGCTAAATGTTTTGTCTTTTATGATGTGTGGTCCTCTTGCTCTGCAAAATACTAACTTTCAAAGGTATTGTACATTTTTGTATTAACATTTTTATGGACTTGCATTGAACATAGTTCAGTTAAAGATGATTCTCTGTAAAATAAATTTTCATCTCTGCCATTTAAAAGAATGGCATAAGTCCTGAGGATTTTATAGCCAGAATTTTATTGGCCATGCATAGTTGAAGTCCTGGCTGGAGACATATTCATGTCTCAGTCCGTCTCAGAGCTGTTGCCTTGTGGAGGGATCAGCAAATTATGTTACCTGTCCTGTTTGGTCTTCTTGATTTCTTTCCTTTTGTCTGTAGCTAAGATCTTCAAGAGTTCTCCCCCTGTCAAATCTGATGTCTATCAGTTTGGATGGAATACATAACTTTTTGTTTACTGTTGAGACAAGAGCATAATCTCCTCCCCAAAGCAATTCATTTCCTGTCTTCCATTTTTGAATTAGCACCTTTATAGGCTGATCTAATTTAGCAATCCTTTCTAAAATACAGTATATCTTAGCAGGTATGCTACTTGTCTCATTTAAAAAAAATTTTTAAATCCAATAAATCATTTATTGATAAATAAATCACTATTTGGGGGGAGATATTATATTTCCCTTCTGTTTTATGACCACCTTTAAAAAATTATTGGTAGATCTTTTCATAATTGTTTGACCTATAGTATTATGACTTATATCTGTGACAGGTTTCATGTCATAATGTCTTTTAAAAATGTTGTATTCCAATGGATACACATGCTGAAACACCATCAGCCCCAATTTGTAGAGGCATAATCTCTTAACAAATGTGTAACCTTAGAATCATGCTCTCCAGAATTTAAAGCAAAAGCCCATTGGAATTCTGAATATGAACCTTTGGCATATTTCAGTTCTCTAAACTCTGTAAAATGGAGCACACAAGCTTGTATGACCTTGTTCCAAGACAGCACTAAACAGGATCTGCATTTCTACTTCAACATATAGACCTTCATCCAGTAATTGGACCTTCACAATACACACAAAAACCCAATCTGACCATGATGGCCTATAGCTGAAGACTTTCTACCCAGCATCTCAATGGGCTTCCATTCTGCAATTTCTTCAGGCTTTTATGGCTTTTCCTCAGCTGGCACTACCTTTTTTGGTGTTACTGTAAGTTGCAGATTTTGTTTCTCTGAAGATTCCCTGTTTTGGTTCAAAGATTCCTCCAACCTCTGTTCTGTAGCCTTTAATTTAGCATCTATTTTCTCAGTCTCTTCTTTCTCCAAGTCTGTCTTATTCTGTTATCTTCCAAAGAAGATATACAAAAATGAAATAGTCACTGAAAAAAATTATTTACATGCTAAGAGAAACAAACTCAAAAGGAAACATGGTAGCCTGTAGCCAGAGGAGTGGCAGGAAATGCAGCCTGTCTAGGGGACACTCTAGAGGTAAAATGTTCACCAAAACATCTCTCCTTTTTACTGAGGCCAGGAAAGGTTACCCAATCAGAAAATAACAGATCTGTGTCTCAGATTTTTATTTGACTCCAAGTCCTGTAACTGTTCATACTTCAGTTCTTCTGAGTATATTAAGAGGAAAGAAAATGAAAAGAATGACATCAGTCAGAAGCATCTTCATGGAAAAGTCAGAGTCTGGTGGCTCTTTGCTTTAGCAACTGGGGCAGAAAAATGCCTAGGATATCTAGTAAAGCACTGAGTTACTTTCTCTCTAAAATAGGATCTCACTATGTAGCTCAGACCGAGCTCAGGGCCCTCTTGCCTACTCCATCCACCTCTGCCTCCTTCATACTCATATTGCCAGCATGAACCACCACACCTGGCCATGACCTAGTTAAAACTGTTTTTATTTTTATTCATATGTGTGTGTGCGTGTGTATGTGTGTGGTATGTTTGTGTGTGTGGCATGTGTACATACATGCATCCATACATGCATTGGCAACATGTGTGTGAAGGTCTGAGAGCAGCTTTCAGGAGCTGGGTTTCTTTTTGCTGTGGGTTCTCTGGATCAAATACAGAGGATTAGGATGTGCGGCCCATGTTCTTACTCATTGAGCCATCTCACTGGCCTCACCCAGTTTCTAAAAGCTGGTATCTGTCTCTACTTTCTCACTTTAATCAAGTAGTATTCCCACAGTAGGTTTGGCAAATGTATGTGACACAAATCTGAGCAGGATGCGTAACTCAATTAATTAATTAATTAATCAATCAATCAATCAATCAATCAGCCTACCCCATTTCACCACCTAATGCCATTTACAGAAAATCTTTCCTTTTACAGATTCATCTTTTTGGAGTTTTGCTGGCTATTTTAGGAAACCTGGTTATCAGCATTTCCCTAAATATCCAGGTAAGAAAAACTCTACTTTTCTGGTTGTAGTTTGATCTGGAAATGCTGTACACCTGTCACAGGTCAGATCACTTTTCCTTCTGCAACATTTTCCTTTTCTCACTAAAAAAAGAAGTAAAAAAGTAAATGCATTTTGTGATCCAACTGTAGAACTACAGGTCTTGAAGAATGTAGGATATACAGTAGGAACTTCAACTGAAGCGTGAATTATAAGCCTGAAAGGATTGCTGCTGCTAAATTAAAAAGGAATGAATTATGAATTTTAAACCAAACCAGAAATTCAGTCTAAATTTTAAATCATTTAATAAGTCAGTTTGAAACAGAATCAAACCAATATAGTTTCTGAAGCTACTGAATTAAAATAAGTCTGAATATCAAAATATCTCCTTGAACATTTATTATAGTATTATTGAAAATGTTTTATTCTACTCTGTTCTACTTGTATTTTAATTTTGTTCATATTTTATACAGATTTCAGAATGCTAAAATATTTGCTTTTTGGCCCACAAACTTTTTGCTATCCTTAGAAAGGTGTTCCTGATCTAGTTCTTTTGTTGTTACTGCTGTTGCTTTCTGATACTAGGGAGGAAAAGTGGGGCCTTGTGCACGCTGGGTTAGCACTCCACTGACCCACACCTCCAGCCACAGGACTTTAAGTTATTTCATGTTCCGTGCTTTCTTGAGATCTCTAGTTATTATTATTTTTTTTTTTTTAGATAATCTGGACCAGTCTTAGAAGAAAATATGCTCAGTTACCATAAAATCTAGGGAAAGTGTACTTAATGAGTTTTTCAGGAATTCGTGGATATGCTTTGCTTTACAGTGCTAGGGATGAAACCCAGAGCCTGGTATAGGTTCCTGAAGTACTCGCCCACTGAACTGTACCCTTAGCATTTTGCGTTTATATTTTAAATACAAAGGAATATTCAAACCATATATGAATGAGTCTGCCTGCCATAATTCCCAGCCACTTGCATTCTGCCCTGCTATATTAATTGTGGCAAATGCTTCAGTCCCTTCTAAAAGCACCCTCTTTCATACTTCACTGCTTTTATTTTGTTAATGTTTCTCTTGGAATCTCGAACTATTTTAAACTGAAAAAGAGCTGGTTGGCTCTAAAAGCGCCTTCCCTCCATAAGATACTTACTTTTAGATGATATATATTTTACAGAGTTATTTTAAGGGGAAAAAAAAACAGTGTTCTTTATTAAAAAACCTTACAAACTAGAGAATGCTATAAAAATGAATTGTTTCTGCTATTATTATACTTGGGACAAACAGAAAGCCATAATAGTCTGCAAATAAATTAGAAAGCCCTGATGTAAGTTCATGAGATCAAAACTCTCAAAGGAAGTGGGGCTTGGTGGCACACGCCTTTCATCCCAGCACTGAGGAGGCAGAGGCAGAGGGATCTCGGAAAGTTTGAAGCCAGCCTGGCCTACCTGTTGAGTGCCAGGCCAACCAGGGCTACATGGTGAGAATCTGCCTCAAAAAATAAAATGAAATTTGACAGCAAGTTTTCAGTGGATGAAAATGTTTTCTACTAACCTTGAAACCTGCCACAGAGGGCCTCTGAAAGCTTCTGCAGTATAGACTGTCAAAGCAGATGCTGAGCCTGATGGCCAACTGATGGGCAGAGTGAATGGAATTGTATGTAAGAAGTGGGAAATAGTAAGAGCTGGAGGGAACGGGAACTCCACAAGGAGAGCAACAGAACAAGATAATTTGAACACAGGGAACTTCCCAGAAAATCATAATCCAACCAAGGCCTGCTCGTGGAGATGACCTGGAACCCCTGCACAGGTGTAGCCCATGGCAGTTCAGTGTCCAAGTGGGTTCCATAGTAATGGGAAGAGGGACTGCCTCTGACATAATCTGATTGGCCTGCTCGTTGATCACCTCCCCCTGAGGGGGGAGCAGCCTTACCAGGCCACAGTAGAGGACAATGCAGCCACTTTTGATGAGAACTGATAGACTAAGATCAGAAAGAAGAGGAGAACCTCCCCTATCAGTGGACTTGGGGAGTGGCATGCATGCAGAAAGGGGAGGGAGGGTGGGATCGGCAGGGGAGGAGGGAGGGGCTTATGGGGGATACAAAATGAATAAAGTGTAATTAATAAAAAATTTAAAAAAAATTCTAAAAAAAAAACCAATAGTAGTTTCTTTTTCACTCCTTGATTTAAAAATATATATATACTTAACTCTGTTTTCATTGAAGCTTATAGGTTGTTTCATCTTTGGTTTTGGAGTCTAATGCCCAAGGAGTAATGTACCATGTTCTCAGTTTTGAACTATCAATTTACTTACCTCTTTCTCAAAATAAAATAGAAAACCCGACAAACAAACACAAAAAAAAAAAAAGAAAGAAAATGTTTTCTACTTATATTCTGATTTGCTTCCAGAAATATTCTCATCTTCATTTGGCCCAGAAGGAGCAGCCAGAGCCTTGCTTTAAGAGTGTGCTGTGGTGGAGTGGAGCCCTGCTGATGGCCATAGGGGAAACAGGCAACTTTGCTGCCTATGGAGTTGCTCCCATCACGCTGATCGCACCGCTGGGGTGTGTGTCAGTTACAGGTGGGCCACTGACCCCTATTTTGGCAAATAAAATGTTCATAAATTAGAGTAATTGATAAAAAACGCAACACAGAAGAATGTCTTCTTCCTGGTTTTCTGAGCATGTTAACATAGGATTACAGTTCTAATCTCTTACGTCCTGCCACACCACCACACTAAAATATAGAAATATGCATTCTGTAGCTGTTCCATTTACATCTAAAGGCTATAGTCTCAACATCTGAATCTTAATCAATTAAATTTTGTCACTTTAAGTGTTATACTGTGTTTTGATCACTAATGGATTATCTAAAACCATTTATAGTCTAAAACCATTATACAACACATGTAGTTGGATCACTGCCGTCTGATCTTGAAGCCAAGTTTAGCCTCTCTTTAACATTAAAAATTAAATATTAATCATTCTGCATTACCTTCAGATTATACAGTTTATAGTCATGTCACAATTACCTACTTCAAAATTCATATGACTAAGTACACTTAGAGATGAGTAAAATGAGGTGTTTTTTTTAAAAGAACAAAAATTACTGCTAACAAGGAGGATAAATTCTATAAGCCTTGCTAAAAACTAATAAAACATTCTTAAAGTTTTGTTCTTTATCTGCTGCTATGGAAACACCATATTTCTAAATCTCTCTGAATTTAGAATCTTCATTGAAATAGAAACAACTTGTAGTCATTGTGAATGACTAGACCAAGCACATCATGTGTTCACATACCCAAGCTTCATATTTCTCCAAAACATGATGTGGCACTCTAAAGAAAGTGTAGCTTAAACTGATGTGTATTCAGACAGAATTCTGTTTTCTTTTGGAAGCCTCTTCTTTTCTTCACTTTTCAAATTTTTGAGATTATATTGTATTAAATATTATAGCTAATATATAGTAAATAATAAGATAGTATAGTAAGGTTATATTCTAGTAAATATATGGAAATAAAGAATGCTTATTTCACTTCCTAGAAACAGTTGAACCCCCTTACTGAGGCCTGGAAAGATGGTTCTGGGGCTAAAAATGCATGCCTGCCTCACAAGCATGAGGAACCCGAGTTTGGAGCCCAAGACCCATGTAAAGCAAGGTAGAGCAGTACTTGCCTGTAAGCTCAGCACAGATGGGACCGAGACAGTGATCCCAAGGACACAGTGGTCAGCCAGTCTAGCTGACACTGACACAGGTCCATTGAGGGACTTGGTCTTAAGAAACTAAGGTTGGCAGAAATAGAGGAAACGCCTGCATTGTGCTCAGGCCTTTACACATACACACACAGCGTGCCGGAGCTGCACACATGTGGACACACATGCACACACCATGTATACATACACATATAAAAAATTCCACAAACTGATACTGGGGAGGCAAGGTTTCTACAGTCATTTACCATTTGTAACATCCCAATAAAATAAGTAAGTTGAGTATGTCTCCTATTTTATTGAATATCCATAGATATTCTAGACTTTCCCTTCTCGGTGTCTAAGAAATAACAGGTAGGAGTTCTTGTTGGCTGTCGCCATGGGACGTAGGTCTTTGCGGTTTCCTGAAGTGCAGCACTTCCCTTCAGATTGAGCATCTCTCCACTTCACTGTTTCTTTCTGCCTTATGCTCTCTCCCCATGAAATATCTGAGGAAAGAGCGAATGAGCGGTGTCAGTAGATACCCAGAGGAGAACAATGTATTTACATATATTTTCTCTGTTTACCTCATGTTCTCCTAGCTATTGCAAAATTGTTGTAGAAGAGAGATTAAGATGAAATTCCCAAGTTGCCAGGAGTGGGCAGTGACAACCCTCAAAGACCCTCAAGGAAGCTGTGAATCTTTTTATGTCATTATGCTTTCTCAAAGCTCTCATTAATAACTAGGAACTTGAGCCAAGCAGTGATGGCACACACCTTTAATCCCACCACTCGGGAGGCAGAGGCAGGTGGATCTCTGTGAGTTCAACAATAGCCAGGGCTGCACAGAGAAACCCTGTCTTGAGGGGGAAACAAATAAAGAGAGAAGGAAAAACCTAGGAACTTAAACTTTCCACCCTGCCATTTAGTGTGCCCTTCCCCCCCCCCCCCCCCCCCCCCCCCGCCCTGCTCTGCACTGCTCCCTCTGCCTGTATGGATGAACTTTTCATAATAATGGAGGCCACTGTTCTTTGTGTGTCCTTAGTCTTGGTGTTTCTACTGGTGAACATTTTCAGCTACCTCCTTTCTGACCAGTTAAAGCTATCAAAAGAAGTGAGTTTACAGCCTCAGATACAAGTCATTTCTTCTGCAACCTTTACACACAGCAATATATGTTCATAAACACTGTTCCACGGCTCTCTAGAGCTGCAGGTGAAGTGTGTGGATGGTGCAGGGCTGCAAGGAAAGAAAGATTTCCCCTGAACAACAGACCATGATGCTAGAGACTTCAGGGATGGTCAAAACAGTTCTCAAAACAAACAGCCATGTGTGCATACAAGAAGACACTTCCAGACTTTTCTCTGCCCAAGTTTCCTCACCTTTTCTCCATGGGAACTTTAAGAAAGGAATGAAATTTCCCTTTGAATTTGAAAAAAAAAACATAGCATATGCTAGAATTTTACATGGATAGTACATACTTTTTTATTTTTCTTCTGTCTTTTGCTTTTAAATTTGTGTGTGTGTGTATCTGTGTGGTATGTATGTGCATATGTTTGTGTGTGTGTGTTGGCATGGTAATGTATTTATAATCCCATCCCTGGAAGGAGAGAGCTGACTCCTTTAGCCAGTGCTCTGACTGTCATACATTTGCAAATAAATAAATTTTATAGAAAGTTTTATAAAGAATTTCGTAGTCACACAGGTATCTGAAGTTTGGGAGGTAGAAAGTTCCATGGGGCATAAGCCATTATGTATCTTGAAGATAAGTAAACAGTCTCCAGAACCCAGTGGCCATAGGCGCCTTTATGTAGAGTACCTTAAAAAGCTAGTTTCTGCAGAAAACCCTTGAGGTGCTTCTCACAAACACCCCAAGCTTCTAAAGATTCAGCCTAAATAACCCCTCCCCCCATTCTAAGCAGTAGACATTTCGCAGTGGGGGAAGAGCCTTCATGTTCCCGTACCCAGGCCTTTGTGTCACTTTCATTCTCCATAGACAATTCAGTTCCTAAAGCTGATTCTGACTAAATTGCTAGCTGTGCTGCAGATTAATTAATTCTGGATGTCTGTTTGTTTTGGTGTTTCTCCTAGGAAGTTCATGGGCTTCTAACTTCATCAGAGCCTAGGCTGGCTAGTGCTCCAGTAAACCAGCCAGGAGGACAGTCATGACCACAGCTCTGGGAACACACTGCAAGCTTGGGTCTCACTCCTGCCCCTGGCCAGCTCTGCATCCTCATGCATATAATTTAAATCATTTTTATGCCTCAGATCAGCAATCTGTAAAATGTCAGCAAAAAACAGTTGCATTTCAGAGGTGCTTGTGAAGACCTAAGTGACTTAACTACCTAAGAGCACAGTCTGACACGAAGCACTAGCTGCTGTCACTGTGCTTACAATTATTATTACCATTACATAGGAGCAAAGTACAGTATTCTTTATAATGGAGTTTGTTCCTTGCTCTAACGGTTGAGCCAATTTCAGGAGTGCTTTGCATTGTTCTTATCCATGCAGTGGTTAATTTGCAAGGAGCAAAAAGTAGAATCCTCTCAGTTCATTTGTTCATCCATGAAGCAGCAATTACCCTTCAACTCCTCCACATGCTTCTTGTGAACATGTTTTAAAATTTTTTCTAGAATTTCTAAATAACAAATCGAGACAAAGCACATTTTATAAAACAGATTCAGGGCCCTGTGTGCAGGCACACACCTGTCATACAGCACTCAGGAGTCTGAGGCAGGGGGATTGCCACTAACTCAAGGCTGCCCTGAGCTATGTAATAAGAACAAGGCCAGCCACTGCTACACACTAAGACCCTTCCTTAATAAATAAAAGGCATTCCTCCACAAGGCTCAGGGCCATCTTGGAAGAGGGAGCAGAAAGATTTTAAGAGCCAAAGGTTAGAGAGAACCAGAGTAAACCGGTATAAAATGGTGTCTTCCAGACACAGTAGTACTGTTCCAGTCATGACTCATAGCACCTGTGGCTGCCTACACAAGACCTGCATAAGGTCAAGCCAGTCAGCATTCTAGTGTGTTCCCATCCCCCAGCTGAGGTGCCGTTGATAGTTAATGGCATCTGTGAGAGAAAGAATCAGTTTTATTTAAGTATGTGGCCTCTGGTAAGCCACGCCCAGTAGAATGTGGGCACGGATTGGCGTTTATGGACTATTTAAAAAAGAGGTCATAAAATTGTGGAGTAGTGAGAGGTGGGAAGGGGTCTAGGAGAATGAATATGATAGAAGTATATTGTTAGAAATTCTCAAGGAAAGAAATAAAAATTATTTTTTTAAAAAAAGACAAAGCAAGACAAAAATCATGGTGGGAAGAAAAAGGGGAGGAAGAGCTAAAGGGAGTTTGTGATGAAGAAAGCATTGCTCTTTAAATGTGTAGCTTGCCTCTTCCTGCTTTCTGTTCATAGTAGTTCTGGTGCCTGTACATTAAGTATTAAGGAAGTAGGGCAGATTTGTTTTTCATCTCCAACTATCACTTGATATTTTTAGAAACCATTATTGTACCAGAAATCCATTAAAAAGGCATGCTAGGTAGGTAGCTGGTGCAATATCTCAATCAGGAGATGAGTTCAACCCCCTGAGCCCCAGGAAGGGAGGAAGGAAGGAAACAAGGAAGATGGAAAGGAAGGAAGGAAACAAGTAAGCAAGCTCAGCAGGGTGGTGTATTTGTAATGCAATCATTGGAAAGATTGGTGGATCCCTGGGGCCAGATGGTGAGTTCTAGGCTGGGAAGAGACCCTGTCTCAAAGAAAAGGTAGGTGGAGCCTTAAAAATGATACCTGAGGAAGGGAGGAAGAGAGGAAGGAAGGAAGGAAGGAAGGAAGGAAGGAAGGAAGGAAGGAAGGGGAGGAGGAGGAGGAGGAGAAGGAAGGAAGGGAGGAAGGG